ACATAAGCTTATAGTACTATGTCTTTGATCTGGAAGAAGAATATAACATCTAAAAATCACAATAAAATTTCTTTTTGAAATACTTTATTGAAAACTTTGGAGATTTTATTGAGACATGATAATGGTTTTTCCATCTTTATAACGGTCTCCTCAATAAAAACTTAACACAGTACAATTTCATGACAATACCTAAGTTCTAATTTGAATGCACATTTGCTGGTATCAATGTAAAACAATGCATGAATGATTATTGAAAGACCCTCGTATCATCTTTCTAAGCTTAACATTTTGTTCAGGCCATCAATTTTCAAAAGCAGTTTAACTTTTTTTACTATAGTGAACATTTGATTTCTTATCTTTAACATGCTTATTATTCATTAAAATATTACTTTTAATTTGTATCAAATATTATACTGTTGCAAAAGGAAAACATCTAATCAATACTCCAGGAAAAAAGAAATAGTCTTCTGTCAATTCAATATCAGGCATTGTGAGTTCTCACATTCCTATCTATTAAGAGTACTGGACCCTCCAACGTGTAAGAGTTGTAATGTCAAAAGAACAGTCCAACACAATATTCAAGACCGCTCTATATTTAAATTTGAAAGAAAAAAATTAGATATGGTATCAAGCTTAAAAGAAAACTTAAAAATAACAAACGAAAAAGCTATGAAAAAGTTTAAATCTTTGAATTTTTAAAAATATATAATAGAGTGTAAGTAAAAGATGTTTCCAATGACCCTACAGGATAGAGACAACAAAAAAAAAGACAAATAAATTCGAATTTATTAATTTCACTCAGGTATCTAAGATAAACTAAACATTAAGCTAATGGAGTTGAGAAATAATATGAAGGTCTTTCAATAATTCTTTCTACACTTTTTTACATTCATGGTAATTTTTTCATAGTGATATTCTTTTTCCAGAATGACAAAGCATATTTCTAAATGTATTCAATTCTATAATAAGCTGGTATGGGAACACATGTTTATACTTATGGCACATTATATAATTTTGACACTTGCTTTGAATAGCTATAATTAATTGCCAGAATTACTTATTAGTAATTCATTGATAAAGGCTTAAAACATCTGAACAAAATAAAATACTTTTTTTAAGTAAGGTAGTTTTGACCTTAATTCAGTCAAAAACACGAGTTCATATTATTTGAATAATGTCTTTTTTGAAATATATTACCTAAAACAGTGATATAATATTTACTCCCAACCATCAATTTATAGATTTCATTAATTAATGAAGGGAAACTCAAAGAAATTATTGTAATATTCCAAAATAAAGACATAAATTTCTTAAATTTCAGTAAACAATTAACAAGTCAACTTTTCACCAATTGTTAAGGGAACAAATACAAATTCCTACTATATTCAAATTGAATTTAATGAAGCAAGCAGCACTGCTGCCATCTCTTGGCATGCAAGAGAAGCAAAACAAAGAATGAACAGACATGCAGAGTTCCTGCAAAAATCATGTCTACTTGAGACTTGAGACTCTACTTGAGAGAGCTGGCTGCTCAAGAAGGAACATATTTCTCCATATTGCACAAGAAGAACAAATGGAGTAGAGATTCAAGTGGCTTAGCAAGGAGAGGAGAGGAAGATGAGAAGAAAACGGATCAAACCAGCAAGTTCCAAAGCAATCATTCATTTACAGCCACTACCCAGCTAATCCACAGTTAAAATAGTTGTAACAGTCATACCAAATTCATTAATCCGCGAACAAATCATTGTAAAAGATCCGGCTTTAATAAATCAAATTATAATATAAATATAGTAATCTGTTCGACCCAATAGTGTAATATATATTAATCAAATGCCTTATATACAGTCCACAGCATTAAAATAAATGTACCGGCAACAAGAGCATAACTATTATGTCAATATCCCTGACAGCTGTGGAAGGGATTGGCGTAATAAATTAAATGCCAATTGTGACATCAGGATAGAAAATAAAAAGATTTTGACCTGTTTTAAAGTGATGTACTCCCTGTCTGTGTCTCTATTATGTTAGTATTCTATTTTGTTTTTGTTTTTACTGTTGAAGAGAGATTAACTATCTCTGTTCTATATTCAGGGGTGCCCATCCCCTCCCCTAACGTTGAAGGTGCATGAACCTTCCCTCCTCTTAAGATATTTTATTGCTATCCTTTTCTTAAAAAGAGTGCACACGAATGTAGAATTAGAACAAAGTCATAGATCATATACAAATACTTTCTGCGGTCTGTTCTATATTTCCCCTTGTCCTCTGATTTGAAACAATTCATTCTGAAAATTCATCTGCCCCTTAAAAATTCAAAAACCTAGACAAAATATGCTCTCTTAAAAAGTTTTATGGTGCAATTCACACCCAGAACCCCCTTTTGGGGTACCCCAGTCTATATGGATGATCTTATTTTTATTTTTAGTTATTTATTGCAAATTTAGAGACTTAAGTGCCAATTTAGGAAATACTATGTTTTGATATCTTCTGATTTGTTTATTGACCAAAAATATTTTCATATTTCTAGGGTGCAATGGAAAAAAATGTATAATTTTTAGATGTAAAAAGTAACTTCTTTTGTTGATTATAGTGTCATTGAACTAGCAGGCAAATAAATTTTTTAAAAACGGCCACAATTTGTCGAAACATAATTCATAATAAAATAATATTTTGTGTTTATGCTTAGTTATTGTCAATTTAAAGTTTTCATTCTCAATTAAAAGAGATATTAATAATTGAACAAAAACTAGAAGTCCGGCAAATTCTCAATCTACTCTCCTGGACTTATTATGTTTCGCCAGACTGATTTATTTGTAAAATAATTGAGGATAAGAGCATAACATATTGAACCAAGACAAATTTTATATGAAATTAAAAATAATCTTAGCCCATATCATAGGAATATAAATGGAAATATTATTAAAATAGAACTAATAGTAGATGTTTATTGAGTGTGATCAGTAAAGAAAAACACAATCTAAGTAAACTTAATTTGATCTTCAAATATATTCCAGCTGAACTTATGAACCTTCATCATAGAAGATAGAGAAAATCCTCATTTCTGTCATAAGTAGATACCTAAAACTTATACTGAAACGTCAGCTAACTCTCTAAAAAGATTACTTATTTTTGAATATTTCTTTACTGATCGCAATCACTGGACAATTCCTTCCACAAATATAATTATATCTCTTCCATGACATAATTATCATTTGCTATTATGGGCTATATAATCAAAGGTAGAGAGGTGTTGCAAGTGGCTATTTTAAAATATTTTTTTCTTTTCAACAGAATCTTCAACCATAAACTACCTTTTGTATTTGTATAATAAACATAATTATATGCAAGATAACCATTAGATCAAATATTATATCATTGCATGCACATAAGGTAATGAAAAATGTTATATATTGTACATACTCTACTCAATAAATAAAATTAGTATAATTACTACAAAAAAATTGGATCAATATACATAATTCATACAATGGTGATAACTCTACATATTGCTGCATTACAACAAAGATTCTTCTAAGGAATGCACCAAATTTATTTAATATGAAAAGATTCTTATGATACCTTAGAACATATACAAGACTTCTTTCTTGTTTGAACAGTTGTTCTAGTTTGTATTGCAAATACTAGAAAAGGTTTTTACAGAAGTAAGAATTTTTTAGAGGGACAAACGACGGAGAAAAAAAAACCGGTAAGCTATAACCGCCAAGAATATTACCTCAGGTTGCCAGTAGATGCCTCTCATCAGATAGATGGAAGAATTTCACTGGACGATTTGTTATAATTTAAAATAATTTTCTAAAACTTAAATAATAAATAACAAAAAAAAAAGTTTATCAATTAATTAGTTATTCTTGCAGTCATAAAAGCTACGTTTAATTTTTTTTTGGGCAAGAAGGGGGGGGAGAGGTGAAAGGATTGTCTGAACTTATTCCTTGTTTTTTGTTAAAAATTACAATAAATAAATTTTAATACGAACATATATACATCTACATGTTTATAAGTTATTCCATTCCTTCCAACTAAGCCTCTATTTCTCGAAATTGAACGTTGTTTCTTGTTGGTCTTGATGAAGATCTACATTTTGCACCAAAACATTTACCAACTAGAAAGAAACAAAGAAATTATTTCATATTTTAAAGTTATCAGCTTTTGATTATAAATATTTCAAAAATAATTTTATTTTTAAAAAAAGTATATATAATTTATTTTTATTTAATAGTCTTGGTCTTGCAATGCTATCACTATCATTACAGAGCTCATTCTTCCCATTTCCGTATTGTGTAGCCTTTATCTTAATTGGAGACAAATATATTGTATAAGCTCAATACATCGTTTTCGATGAATCAAGGGTGTTCCTCATTTTAAAAATAGCATTTACGTTTCACACACGAAAATAACTGTAGAAAATTAATTGTCTAAAAGTATATTAATTTTTAAATTTTAGTTTTTTCCTGAGACCAAACACAGCCATATATAGAAGGAAGGGAAGCTGCAAGAAAGTAATTGAATTTTATAATTAATGTTTTATAAAACAGTTAAATGAAAATTATCTTTTAGAATATTGTATAAAATATATCATAATCCTACTCTTTTGAATCTTGTAACTTATTACTGATTTCGGGGAAAGAGGGATAAGAAAAAGAAACATTCTTATTATTATTAATTGGAGTAATGATTATATTCATTCCTAATATTAATTATAAACGTCTATACATCATTATTCATTACACAAATCAATTGATAATTGCTTAATGGACATAATGTAATTTTTCTAACTAACAAAAATAAGTTTAAAATAGGTGTTTTAATAGGGACTGATTTTAAAATAGGCTTAAATAAATTGAATTTCTAAGTTTGATTGAAAATAGTTAAATCTTTTCAAAGCATATCAAGCTCTATGAACAATATTAATTATTTAAAGAATATTATTTGTTATTAAATGAAAGAGAAGTCATAATAAAAACATTTTGATACTTTTGTTATTGACAAGCTTTAGCTCTTTGGCATTAGTAAAGTAGGTTACTGTTAGATTAAGGTTATAATACCGATTCCGGGCTTCTTGGTATTTTAAAACTTGTAAATTCTAATATTAAAAATGGTAAGAAGAAATAAACAATTTTGATTACTCGTCGTTGATTAATTAAATTTTTTAATATAGTTCGTTATTATTTAATTTCATGCTATTTAGTAAGGGCTCTGATTGTAATTTTATGATATTTGGTATTATTGAATCTTGTTATTGAAAATCTTGCATTTTAGTTTCTTAACAGTTATTATTATACTCTGCTTTTTAAATTTATTATAACTGCATATTATTGTGTTTAATTTATTCCTTGTGATTCATAAGTCTACTTAATGTTTTAGTTATTTTACTCTTTCTTCAAGTCATTAGTTGGGAAGGATGTAGTGGTTGAACTGAAGAATGACTTAAGGTAATGTATAACTTATCAAAACAAACTTTCAAAGTTGTATTGCTTTACAATGAAAGTGTTTTTTATTGTTTATGTACTTTTTTGTTTTCAATTATATAAATATTTATGTCTCTACAGTTCTTTATTATAAATATTGCAGATAATAATAATTTATATAAAATAAATACTAGTTCACATGTATTGCGTTTAGATTTTATTTGAATATATAATTCTGAAAGTTGTCGAGTGTTGATAAACAGGTCTAGATATTCTTGTTCGTGAGAAGCAAATCCTGATTTCTTTTCAGTTGAGTTTCAGATCGTATATTTTTGGACACACTCAGCTGCTTTTGGGGTCTTATTTACAGTATGATTAATGTTATCTATACCCACTTGTCAACTAGATATAACATTTACGAACTAATAACAAAAATTAAGTTAGACACATGATAACACTGTAGATAGGATTTCTAAAGTAGACGACGGCATCGAATAAGGCCCTGACTTTGATACTGCTGTACAATCATCTCTTTGATGGGTGGTACAAGATCTAATCATGTTAATCATTACACATTAGCTGCAGTTACGGTCCCCGACGTCTGATAGCTTTATATCAGATAGAATAATCATTCTATTCATGACAATTCACGTTTGCATCTATTGCTACACATCTATCCAACTCTCATTCAACTATTTTTTAAAATGACAATTCGAAACAATCCCGGCTGAAATCGAAACGAATATCACAACCCAGGGACCGTAGCCTCAACTAACGTGTTAAATCATATATGGAATTCTGTGAATTGCCGAGTGCGGGATAAGATGACAGAAGTGAATGAATGGCCTAGTAAGGGCATAACTTCAACTGAAAAGGACTCTTGGAGATTTGTATATCTCTTATGAGTGATCATAGCGAGTGTTATCTTCTTATTTGTTGATTGAAAATGAACCTGCGACTGTAGTATGGAATTTCATCTTCAATGTTGCATTTAAATTTGTCATTTCTTCTTATTTTATTTTTTATTTAAAATTATCAGGGAGTGGGGTCTCAGTGGTAGGGCACTGAGTTTCCAATGATAAAGGTCCCAGGTTCGAATCCTGCCTCGTCACAGAAAAATTATTTATTCTGCTTCATTGGTCTAGGGGTGACCCTGGGTCAAGAGTCCCTTTTAGGGCACACCTAGTCTCCATAAAGTGAGTACTCTTAATTAAATAATTAATTAAGAGGGGGAAAACCTGGCGGTTGAGCGTGATCTCAATCAAATCACCTCCTTGCACAACCATTGACCAAAAAACAGTGCTTTCCCTAAATAGTACTGAACCCAAGACCCTTCATGGGTTGTAGTGGTACAGGTTTTTTTTTTTTTTTAAATAATCAAAATATGTGATTATATGCATTATCATGAAATGTGCTATTTAAAATTTGGCCAAATGCATCTGGGTGTAATGATTCTTATAGATATTTTATCACCAGTTTGAAAACCACATGGAAACAAATTATGTGATTTTTAGCCTAATTATAAAAATCTGGGCCTTGCTTATGACTGATGAATACAATTTATTCAAGTACCAAATTTTTACCAGAAGATAATACAGAACAACTCGTCATAAATTAGAAGAGCGTTGATAACAAGGAATCTCTTGAATCTATCTCATGAGTGTTGAGATAAGGAAACCCCGGGTCCTTTACAGTTGATGTTTAGGTATTATATTTTTGGACACATCCAGCTTCATGCATACACCTCATTATTTAATTAATCATTTTTACTTCTATTATAATCCAAACTAATTTATTTTTCCCTAAAATTAGTAACTAAAATTATTTATATTTTGTAGTATCCATGGTATCCTGCACTCTGTTGACCAATATTTGAACATTAAGTTGACGGATATCAGCGTCACAGATAGTGAAAAGTACCCACACATGGTAATTGATTTTCTATATTTTTTTAAAATCTCTTTTTTGTTAAATATTAAGTTGTTTTATATGAAATGTGAGTTTTCACAAGAAAGATTATTTAGTAATACAACTTCATGAAATCAAAATATATTTATTCGAAATATTACCCTCATTTTCTCCAATGTGTTAACAACTTTTCAATCCCAGAACTGAAAAATTCAGGGTTTTGTGAAGAAATGAAGTCAGAAAATGCGTTTTTGACCTGAGCGTCATTTTCAAAAATTTTATCTTCAAGAAAGTTGTCCAAATTTTTTATTGAAATCTGTTGGAGATAAGTCTGAGGAATAAGGTGGGTGTGGAAGGACTTCATAACACAGATCGTTTACTTTCTTCACTATCTGTCGTGAAACATGAGCTATGGTGTTGTCGTGTAAGAGTATTTAGAGTAGAGTTCCCTTTCAATTAACTAATACAGGTTGTTTTTTTTTTACAAGTTTTTGATGTAATTTGTTAATATCATTGCAGTACGATGTGGATGTGATGGTTTCACCTCTGGTTAAAAAGGAGAAATGAATTATTCCTGCCATTGACCACCACACATAAACCAATCATTTTTTTGGATGACAATTTTTTTCAAACCATCGGAGAATGGTCTGTTAATGAACATGGTTGTAATGACAAAACATAATGATTCTTGCAGCTTGGGCTGCCTAGTGTCCAAGTTTAAACTTATTAAAAAAAATTACCCAAATCGCGTCTCCGTGGTCATATTTGATGACATAATAATCAATGTGCAATCAATCGGAATCATAGTAAATATAGTAAAAAAAGAGAGCATTAATAATGGTTCATTATAATCTGTAAACATAAACAACAAAAGTCTACTAATCCTATTTTGAATTTATGAAATAATAAAAACGGACATTTCATATGAAATTACCCGATATGTTGTTTTATTCCTCTTTTAGTGTTATTTATCATTTTGCTGTATGCTGAACTTTTTGCCGTTTAGTAACTCATGTACCACAACCAAAGGCTCTCAGTGTGTCATTCAGTCGGATCAATTTTATGGATTTCATATGGTCAGAAAAAATCAGAAATTAGTCAAGAATTCATTGTTAAGTCGGGAAAGTCATCCTGAGTTCTCAACTATTTTGTCTTCCTTTGACTTTAGCTGTAGAATAGCTTATTTTGACAGTTACAACGTCTTATAAGAGAGTTTATCCAAACAGAAAAAGATACATATTTACAAGTTAATGTTTTCAGTAAGGGAATGTAAAGCTGTCCTGCCTGGAAAAATTTTTTTTTTTCATATTCAGGCTTTATTCATTATAATGTTTATTACTGATTCATTGAATTCTGTCTCTGACTTATTTATGAAGTCATTGGGCTTATTTTTTTTTCAGCTTTGCCACCAAAATTGCAGAAACGCCAGGAAGACCCTTGATCAGGAAATTAGAACAGGAAAATCTTTTACATTATCATCTGCCATTTCATTTCAAAATGGTGGCCGATTAGAGAGTTCAGATCTATATATATATATGAAGAGAAGAATAGTTGGGGTGCTCAGTCAAAAAGGAAGGCAAAAATAAATTATAATATTTATTTTTTAATTTATAGAAAATTATTTAAAAAAAGTAAAAAATAAAAAATAAATATTATAATTTATTTTTGCCTTCCTTTTTGACTGAGCACCCCAACTATTCTTCTCTTCATTATCCACGACAGTCAACCAATTACCAATTTTATATATATATATATATATATATATATATATTGTAACGTTCCCTTTGTCAACAAAATCAAACAACAAGTTTCCTTTTTCAATATATTATTTATTTTAACACATATAACATAAATCTCAGGTTGGGTTCTGACAACTGAACACTCATTCAACATTAAATAACTATAATTTACTAATTACTAAATACACTAATTATACATATAAAATTTATTATTATTTTCAAAAACCTTGATTGTCCCGGTCTAAACTTTTGGTTCTATCCCTCTGTCAACATAAATGGCATTGTTAGCACTCACCCAAATGTTTACGCCTGCCAGCGAAATAATCTCTTCTTACTTACGAATGTCCCGTTTTCTGTACCACTTAATTATTTTCTGCTGTTGTTTTCTTCCAACATAAAATAATCTTCACTAGTGGCCTCTATTAACACTCGAACCGGCTAGGACTCCTTTTTCTCTTGACAGCTTGTCACATTTTCTCTTGGTGGCTCATTACCTCCTCTCTTGGCGGCTATCACCTTCTCTCCTGACAGCCCGTCACATTCTGAGTTACATGAGGCTTGCTTCCCCCACCATCCGCACCGTAGTTCGCGCCGTTACCACCCTCGCTCCACTATTCAAATGCCATGTAATGTTGACATTACAATATATATATATTGTAATGTCAACATTACATGGCATTTGGATAGTGGCGCAAAGGTGGTGATGGCGCGAACTATGGGAAGAAAGTGGGGGAAACAAGCTTCATGTAAGGCTGAAGGAGACAAGCGGCCAAGGGGGAAGGTGCCAGCCAGCAAGTGGAGAAATTAGGAAAAGGAGTCTTAGCCGGTTCGAGTGTTGACAGAGGCCACTAGTGAAGATTATTTTATGTTGGAAGAAAGAATATAGCAGAAATTAATTAAGTGTTACAGAAACATTAAGTGGACAATCGTAAGTAAGAAGAGATTATTTCGCTGGCAGGCGTAAACATTTGGGTGAGTGCTAACAATGCCATTTATGTTGACAGAGGGATAGAACCAAAAGTTTAGACCGGGACAAATTATTTAATAAAATATTTTAAATTATAAATAAGTGTAGTAGTAATTAATGAATTAGTGTACATTGTCTTTATAAATAGGAATGAGTGTTCAGGTGTCAGAACCCAACCTAAAGATGTATATTATGTGTTAAAATAAATAATATATTCAAAAAGTAAACTCATTTGTTTGTTTTTGTTGCTTTTGAAAACGTTACAATATATATATATTGTTCGTAAGTCCTAAAGTTTATTTATCTGAGGTATATGAATAAAATTAAGTAACAGTTTACTCTCCCAACAAATTTTTTCTATGTTTTTATGATGTTTCGGGATCTCTTTATTATCCCATCTTTTGATCGCATCTCATCCTTCTATCATCTAATTTTTTAAAAAAAAGATTTGCCATAATTTTTATTTTTAGAAATCGTCCTTTAATTATATTAATTATTGTGGACTCCTCTAGGAAGAGACTAGTCAGACAGGCCCTCAGTGTCTGATTAGTCTCTCCCTAGAGTCTACAATATAATTAAGGGATGATTTATAAAAATAAAAATTATGACAAATATTATTTTTAAAAAAAATATATAATAGAAGGATGATTATGATATACGGTCTGAAGATGGAATAATAAAGTGATCCCGAAACGTCCTAAAAACAAAGAAAATATTTGTTGGGAGAGCAAACTGTTACTTAATTTAATTAATATACCTCAGTCTATATATGGGGAGCGGGGTAGCTCAGTGGGTGAGCACTGACTTCCAGAGCTCAAAGTCCTAGGTTCGAATCCGGCTAATGACTAGTAATTTTTTATTAGCCGTGGATCGACCCTGGGATCGGGGGACCCTCCTGGGGTTAAATAATTAAGGAAGAAAACCTGGCGGTTGAACGTGATATCGGGCCCATCACCTCCCTGTACAACCGTTGGCCTTGTAACAGTACTTCCTCGCATTGTACTCAACCCAAGACCCTTCATGGGTTGTAGTGGTACAGGTTTTTTTTTTCAGTCTATATATATGTTTTTTTCTCTGTGAATAGTGTCAATTTTTTTTCTTTTAGAATTGCTAGGTCACGAGTTTGAAGTTACCATCTGCCATTTTTAAACAAAATGGCATCTCATTATAAGCATCTTGGCCATTTATGAAAATAGAGTATTTTTTTAAAAAATCATATCAAAGTTCTTGGCAGGTAGTCTAGGATGACCACTTACATTACGTGCTAAAAGCGTAGCTCTATCGAAAATGTACTTATAGAGTTTTTGCAATAAAATGATGATGTATCAAACATATCCCCTAAACCTGCACAGTCTAAAATACTGTCATCACAAAAACATAACGAATTTTTTATATGAAGGAATAGTTTATTTGGGTTGGGGGAGGAGATGCGGTGAACAATCACACACATTGTGATTGTAATATCACAAATATTGTGATGTAATATTTATTTAGTCAGGATTAGCATAATTTTTTATTTATCCTATGCCTTGATCGTCTTGAGCTCTTTCGACCATGCGATGTCTAGCAGCCCAGTAAATTTCACCTTCTGTTCTAGCTTTGTTTCTAATTTCCTGTAGTCCAGGACAAGTCAGTAAATGCAGAGTTGTCGTGAATCCTTGTTAACATAGTGGACATGTTGCTGATTCGACGGCTCCAACACAGTATAAATGGCTTTGGAGATAGCCATGTCTGGTTTTAATCCTAAACTGTGCAATGGCTTCACGTCTAGGGAGATCCATTGGCACTCTTCCATTCTCTTCTAGTAATGAAGCCCATTGCTTCTTCTTCAACTTCAACTGCCATTTCTGTTCCAATTCTTTAGTGATTACTCTTTTGATGAGCTTCTTTGCTGTCAAGAAAGGGATTGGCATATCTGGCTGATCTTTTCTGCCACCTTCTTTTGCTAATTGGTCAGTATATTCATTACCTATAGCAGTGTCCTGGTATCCACTGTAGAACGACATTTTTTTATTAGAACGTAATATATATTTAGCACGATTGGCTAAAATAAATATTACACCATAATCGTTGACTGCATGCCACTACAAACTATTCCTTCAATTAAAAAACCTACGGTCAATCATTTCTGTACCATCTTGAATTTTATATTATTAAATAAAAGAATAAAAATTTATGTAATGTATTGGCCAACTATTTATTAATTCTACACCCCTTGTCGTACATATACCTTGGATGGGATACTACAGTCCTATATACAGAGTCCAGATGGAATACCTCTTACCTGTGTTTTTTCTCCTTACGATGTCTGTAGTCAAATAACCCTCTTCGTGATTTTATTGTACACCATCTGATGGCTAATACCGCTCGGCTGAACTTCTTTCTCTCACAAATGTAATAGCTTTGTGGTATGTATGTAGTACCTTTCTTGTGAAATTCAATGGCAAACATATTAAGATATATATGATCATCTTGTTTTAACCTCTCCTCAATCTGTCCACCTAGTTTAAACCTTATTTTAATTGGATAACCATCATTTGATGTTTTCTTATAATCCTCTCCCCGACATTTACAAAACCTTTAGTCATATATCTTTCCTGTTTCAGCTGTCAGTGAAGAACTGTTTCATCAGAGGCTCCGTCGTGAGGTATGTCCAATTGCCAGCTGATGAAGTCGACACCCAACTGTTACAGGATGCTGCAAGGAAAGAAGCCTCGCTCCAGACGCGATGATTTTTTAGGATAGTTTATATTTTATTTTACTTATAGTTGTAATTTTTGTAATTAAAACAAATTCTGTATAAATACATTTATATTTTATATTTCATTCCTTCTGATATTTTAATAAAATGGTATTCGCGCTCTATGTCTATTAAAATATTTACTTAAACAAGAAAGCATTATGTTGATTAAAAAATTTTTGAAAATGGATCTTTAAACGTAATTCTCTTGACCTTATTGTTGACAATTAAGGCTATAATTCTACCGCAATCAGTTGGCATTCCAAGGGAGGACTAATGTGAACACTAAATTGAAACTTTTATTTGTTTTTTTTCCTAAACCTCAAGCATTACTTACTTAATATGTACTTATATTGTTCCTAAATTAGAACATTATGATATTTTTCAAAGTATGTATTGTAACGTTCCCTTTGTCAACATAAATCAAACAACGAGTTTCCTTTTTCAATATACTATTTATTTTAACATATAACATAAATCTCAGGTTGGGTTCTGACAACTGAACACTCATTCTACATTAAATAACTATAACTTACTAATTAATAAATACATATAAAGAAACTAGATACATACATTAAGAAATTATACATATTGTTTTCAAAAACCTTGATGGTCCCAGTCTAAACTTTGTGGCTCTTTCTATTTTCTCAAGTTGCTGGCTAGTACCTTCTCTCTTGACAGCTTGTCACATTTTCTCTTGGCGGCTCATAACCTTCTTTCTTGGCCGCTAGCACCTTCTCTCTTGGCGGCCCATCACATTATGAGTTACATGAGGCTTGCTTCCTCCACCATCCGCACACGCGCCACTATTTAAATGCCATGTAATGTTGACATTACAGTATACACTTGTGAATATTTTTTAAGTATATCGGAGGTTTAGAAGAAAGAAAATGTTTTCCTAATTAGTGTTGCTACTACTAACTATAGGCTATATGTGCCCAATTTTACTCGTTTAAATTTACTTCTTATTGTAGGATTTGAGTAGTTTTCATTTTTTTTTAGTAAATAAGTTCAGTTTAACAACCTTTAAAAATAGTTTCTCCCAGTTAATATAATTATAGATGTTAATAAAGTAATAAGATCAAAGCAATGGAAATAGGAAACAAGTATTGAGATGGATTGTAAATGAATAAAAAATATTTAAGAATTTGATGATGGTGTGATCCTTTGAGTCAAAACACACTAATTAGAGAGACTTATTGGATTATTGAGTGCTTATGATTTGACCTATTCAGCATTTTTATCAACTATCGGAATATTTATTACTTTATTATATTTTACATGGGAGTGGGGTAGCTCGGTGGTAGGGTACTCAGCTTCCAATGCTAAAGGTCCCAGGTTCAAATCCCGGCTCGTGGTAGAAAAATTATTTATTCTGTTTCATTGGCCGTGGGGTGACCCTGGGTAGGTAGACCTCCTGGGGCATACCCAGCCTCTATAAAGTGAGTTCCCTTAATTAAATAATTAATTAAGGGGGGGAACCTGGCGGTTGAGCGTGACCTCGGTCAAATCACCTCTGTACACAACCTTAGACCAAGAAACAGTGCTTTCCCTAAATAGTACTCAACCCAAGACACTTCATGGGTTGTAGTGGATTCTTTTTTAACATATGTTTATTTATTCCATAATTTTTGTTCTCTTGGTAACGTTTCGACTGCCATGCCATCTATCCATACATTAATCCTATGTTGCAACAGTGAGAAATAAAATCAACCATCTTTTTAGATTGGCTTGAAGATGGCGTGAATGCCAAAACGTTTCCAAGAGAACAAAAATTGTGGAACGAATAAACGGTATAAATATGCTGAAAAAAAAAATAATAAGAGCACAAATCATTTTGATTCCTAAATAAGAATTTTCACCTATAACTTAATAAAATTATAATTTTTTTTTTACTTTTCTGTATTATCACTTCTGTTTTGACATATATAATGATCTTAAGTATGTGATATGAAATCAACCAAAATATGAGAATATTTAAAATAAAAAAAACATTTTTATAAGTATTTTTTATCTCAAACTTTCGAACATTCATGAAATCTCACTGAGTAATTTGAATATCGAACTTAAATACACTTTATACAATAATTTGAGCCATCAAACTAGCGGATAACCTAAACTTATCCCTTGTGTTACTTCACTGCAGTAAAAAAAATCATTTTTTGTTGGTCTTTTTTCTTTCCTCATACATTTCGATTCTTATTCAGTTAATCTGACACATTAAGCCATGTTCTCATGTGTATGACACGTATTTCTCAATTTAACACAGGTGCATTCTTTATATTCTATGGCCGTACATTTCTCTGCTTATTATCTGCATTTTTTTTTTTTGTAATTTTCTTGAACAAGGTGATTCCCATCCACCTATCTTGTTTAATTTAGCATTAGAGAGGTAATGTATGTCCAAAAAGGTTTGAATTTGGGTGGAATAATATTCATGCTTGGTTATGCAGATGATTTGGTCCTAAAGACAGGAAAAGTATGAAACTAAATATGGCAATGGAAGCCGATAAAGAACTGGGAATCAAAATAAATACAGACAAGACATAACATATGTTGGTCACCGTCAACTCAATAAGTACCTCTTTAACTTGGGCTTAAGTGAGACTTCCACCTGCTGGCTGTGTGGCTTTGAGGATAAAACCGCCTATCATGTTATCTGTAAATGTGATAATTTGGCTAGACTGCGATACTTTCACTTTGGATGTGATCGTATCACTGACCTTAAGCATTGCGAACTGATAGATCCTGTTAGTATTAACAAATTCGCAAAGGTATCTGGTCTGTTTTAATAGAGCTTTAGGACGACGTGCAATAGGCCTCTTTGAGGCCGTGGTGCATCTCTACATCGGGAAAAAAATTATATGATAAGCAGTTTATGAAAAACGGTGATAACTTAGATGATATAGACATAGAAGTGAATATGTAATAGAGAGGTGTAAGTATTTAGGATCTATGAATACTAGAAAAAAACATAATTGAAAAGAAGCTTAAGAACAGGTAGAAGTCGGGAAATTTATTTTTCTGTGATAAAACAACTTAGCTTGTGCCTTGTGTTTTTGAAAATTAGAATTTGCAAAATTATTTTCCTATGTTTATGGATGTGAAATGTGGTCACTTACATTAAGGGATGAGCAGTCTTAATGTTTTTGAAAATAAAGTATTGCGTAGAATATTCAGACCGAAGAAGGTTGATTCAACCAGAGAATTCTTGTTTTTTCTTACATCAAACAAGAATTGTTCTTAATGCAGTAAGATACAAAAATGCCTAATTGCATGAACTGTATCCGGTTAACATAATTTAGGTGATCACATTATTATCACATTAGGTGATCACACGCAGGATAGACCGAAGTGAAGGTAGGTATTAATACTGATCTGGTGGGGGTTGGTTTGGGCCGCAACCGGTGGGAGGAAGTGTGTAGACAGCAATTGGTGGTTTCAGCATCAAACCCTCTGTTCACCAAGCCTTTTATTATTATTATAAATTTCTCACTCACTTGAGCTCAATAGGTAATAAAGGAACAATTTTAAATAATATAAAACACAGTTCACTTTTTGTCATCATATAATTTAAACAAGCCTTTTTCAATAAACAATAAATTATTTTGTGAATAATGATTAGAAATAGATTTTATTTACAAAGAATATATATATAAGAGAATGTACATTAAGAAGTAACAATATCACTGATTTACAAAAAAAATTAATAACATTAATAAATTGGAAATAATATATCTGTACATAAGGTTTTAACGGGATAATGGCACATTTTATTACTTACAACAATCAGTTTTATTACATATATTTACAATTATTACATATATATTTCAATCTTCCAATAGGAAAAGAGATTTTAATAGTATAAATGGTTGACTAGCCACGTTCAGCAATGGTTTAACATTATATTTACATTATATCACTAATAATACATTCATTATAATTCATAGCAAAAATAATTTTGGTCATTTTTTAAAAATTATTTTTGCTGGTAAAGTTGAAGAAATTTACAACATTTTTTTATTTTATACATTATTTTCTCCTTTTAAAAAAAGTATTTTGCACTTTTTCCCACTCGGTATTGCATTCATTTTTTGATAATTAATGTAATATTGTTTAGTAACCAATTAAATTTTTTGTAATAATAAAAAATAAAAAGTTTGTTAGGTCTTTTGTAAAGTGGGAGCTTTTACTTAAATATGAAAATTTGAAAAAAAAAAATTATTTACTGTCATCTTGAAAGTTGAAAAAATGTAAAAATTTTGTTTATTATGTTATAAATCAATATTTGTTTCGAAATAACATTTAAATTTTTAGATAAAAATGAATTATTAACCATGGCAAACAAACAGAAATAAAACTTGATTTTGTAAAATATGGACCACAACTGCCAGAAATTCTTAATGTATATTAGTATCAGTATGTATTGAAATGTCTTGGATTGATGTTCTGTCTACATTTGTTTTTTTGTTTTTTAGGACTCATAGTGTGAGAAGTCACGCCATTTATTTTTATCTTGCCATTTTCTATATCAATTAGTGAAATGTTGATGGATTATTTTTTTTAATTTTTGGTCTTTTTAATTCTAATAAATAATTTTCAGAATAGTTAGTGTTGTTCATCTTTAATAACCAAATGAGAAAGAGTTGTTCGGGGGGGGTGCGGTCAAATTTATACTAAATTAAAAAAAGAAGAATTATTTAATTTTTGCCGACGTTTCGACCCACTTTGCAGGTTGTCTTCAGGGCTACAAAAGATACAAAACATGTTGAGAGTAAAAATTAAATATAAGTAGATATAGAATAAGAAGAAGTTGTCAGATACAGAAATAAAAGATGATATCAGAGATATAGTGGGTGACAATGCAGTAAAATATTAAGTATTATATATGTAGAAGATACAAAATAAGTATGAATAAAAATAAAAATAAAGGAGAATATAGCATGTAAGTTAAAAGTAAACAGATTGCGATAAAAGATAAGGAATAAGTGTTTAACAAACTAATAGAGATTACATTAGATAACTGTGGGTTTAACAGATAAATAAAATGAATGTTAACTAATAAATAGATTGAAAATTGAATAAGTAATGTTACAGTAAATTATTAATATTTTCATGCAACCTACTACTCCATTACGCTTTCAAAAAACTGAATGTCAATTGTCATCTATATATAGTACAACTTGTTTTTGTTTCTTTGTCATCATAACCTTGTTTTAAATTTATTCTTACATTTTAAAGTTCTCTTTTAAAATTATTGTTTTCTTATAGATTTATTTATACTTAATAATCTATCCCAACGATATTACACTAATGTTACCCTATTAATCTTTCAATTTCTTCACTTCTTAACCTTTAGTATTAGTTAACATTCATTTTATTTATCTGTTAAACCCACAGTTATCTCATGTAATCTCTCTCATGTAATCTCTGTTATACACTTATTCCTTATCTTTTATCGCAATCTGTTTACTTTTAACTTACATGCTATATTCTCCTTTATTTTTATTTTTATTCATACTTATTTTCCATTTATTTGTATCTTCTACATATATAATACTTAATATTTTACTACATTGTCACCCACTATATCTCTGATATCATCTTTTATTTCTGTATCTGACAACTTCTTCATGTTTTGTATCTTTTG